TTTCGCTCATAGATTTTCCGTTGGCCGTGGCGGTTTTTCGCTCATGAGTGAAGAGAGATCGTCTAAAGTATTTTTCCTTCTTCTTTTCTTTTCTTGTTTCTGTTTCGTTCGCCTAGCTAGTATTTCATCGAATGTATAGTGTGAAGAATTGTTTTTTTTCTTATGTTTTCTCTCAATTGGCAATCGTTAAGAATTCGTTTCGACACGTGCATAAGGCATACATTTTTGGCTTCTGCTTCGTAGCTTATGTTTTATTTATCTTGCAGTAATTGGTAATTATATGTTCACGAATGTTTCCTCTTCGAGTTTTGTAACTTACCTTACGAAACCCTACATTATATTACGATCTTTAGCCCCACTGTTTAGCATAAATGAAGTATACAAGTACTGGAAAAAAGCGAGAGATTGATAAACCGACGGAAAGACTAATTTATAGACCGATAGAAGGAGTTTTTAAAATTTAAACAGAGATTATATATTCTAATTATATCCGTCAGTTCCGCGACCAATGTTGGTCAATCTCACGCCATTTAATCTTATTAATACAGACCTTATGAATTGTATGTTGATAGATTTATGTCCATGTTTGTTTGTTTTTTTATTTATTATTATTTCTAAGCACGTGTCCGTTCAAAGAATTCCCTATTTTTCGCGTAAATATATTTGTGAGTTTCTTAAAGGTATACCGGTAAGTTATGCGTCATGTTTAATTACCCCTGACTAATTTTTAACCGTCTGCCGTACTGGTGATTTACATACGATCATGCATAGTTAGGGAGCATGAATATAATTTTTGGTATGGCTAATGTGTAGCTAAGACTGAAAAATAATATGTCTAAGGAAAAACTCAATTCTTACTTAATTTTTATTCTATATCTAGCTTAATTTGTAGCCAGTGTATGCATTCATGTTTTAGTGGCGTTTCCTTTTTATCCATGTGTTAACAATGTTGTTAATTTCTTAAAAGGAAATGGCGGTATATTTAGTCCTTACAACCGTTTTTTTTTTTTTTTTTTTTAAGGAATGAATCTGGTGTGCACGTAAACTCAAAATTAAATAGATATTTTAGACTATGTGCGAATATGTGCAAGTGTAACGCATATGTGTGCTGTGGCGGTCCTGCACCCCCCCCCCCTCCTCAAAAATGCCTCTCTACATTTCAGTTCCTACAAATGGAATATATATATATATATATATATATATATATATATATATATATATATATATATATATATATATATATATATATATATGTGTGTGTGTGTGTGTGTGTGTGGGTGTGTACACACACATATACATATATGTATACACACATTAATACGTATGTGTGTTTGTATAATCGTTCATGGATATATGTAAATGTAAGTTTTTATATATGCCTCCTGTCAAAATGTATAGCCCTGTGTTAAAATCTAGATACGCCAGTGTGTGTTTGTACGTGCGTGTGTGTGTGTGTGTGTGTGTGTGTGTGTGTGTGTGTGTGTGTGTGTGCTTGTGTGAGCGAGTGAGAGCGCGCAACGCGTGTGTGCCTACGTGTGGGAGCTCAAGGTCTATATGGACCTTGCGGGAGCGCACCCGCGCACTGCGCGCCCAACGCAACCACGTGTGTGACTTTTGTCTGCGTATGAGCGAGCCTTCACCTGATGACTGTGACATGGAAGTCTGCATGTGTCCGGTAGTTGATGATGCGCTGACCTATTTTCCTCATTAACATTATTAACATCGAAGTCCAAACAATTGGACACTAAGCCTACCGGAAAAAAAACATCGCCACAGAATGAGCAGGTGTTAGTTTAATGCTTTTGATTATGAATAAGGGCATTGAAAACACAGAATCGATAATATAGCTTGATTTACATTTCTTTGACAATATGAACAAAAAACAGATATGTAGAATGTGTATGGAAAACAATGCATTACATTAACGTTCCCTCGTGTCATTGCACGCGGGGGTTAAACGTTTGCCTCAAGAGTAGGCCTGCGCATTCACGTATGAAATAAAACTCATTCATGCAATTATTCTGTTTAATTGATTTTCTTAATTGACATTAATTATCTTAGTCATATGTTGGTGACGCGTTGAGTATTTGTGCATTTTATTGCAGAATAAACATTTTCTTCAATTTCAATATTCTAATCCTGATTTATGATACTTCATTTCACACAGAATAAACTATTTTCGTGATTCTTATCGCGAAACAACAAACCAAAAATATGCAATAGGGAGTAAAACATAAGTTACTGTAGAAGATTTCTGATAGAAAATCGATAGCTTTTGGCTTTTAGGCCTAACTTTTCTCACAGCAAAATTCCTTCATCCTAGAAATTCCTTATATATTATTTTCGGTGCTGAACTGCACTAGACGTGTCCACCATATTTTTTATTCTAGTAAGAAAATGGAGTTATGTTTGCAGTGGTGAAATTGATATATAATTTGGTGCATTTAGTCTTCGAAATATGAATTATTTTTTCGCTGATGAACGAATGAGAGAGAAAGAGAGAGAGAGAGTAATCAGAATATTCCCATGATATTCATTATCATTAATATCTCGTATCAGATAAAAAGATTTCAAATTATGTAGGCACCAAACTGCAGCATACATATTCACGAAAATAATATAATACGATCTTAAACAATAGTGAATGATCGCAGGGTAAAATCGGATGTCCCATGCAGCTAACAAAGAATGCCTAGGGCATTATCATATTCCCATTATTAAAAGAAAGAACTAGAAAATATGTACTCCTACCATCATTAATAAGACCAATAAAATGTATAATTTTTCAATTACCAACGAATGTTAAAAGGAAAAAAAAATTCGGACGCTTCTCTCGGCCAATCAGGATCCTCGTTTCAGACTGGGCCAATCAGGAGCTAGCTTGCAAGTCTTTTCGGCGTTGTTTGTACATGGTGGGAAAAGGCGGCTTCAACGCGTGAGGTTCCCGAATTTTTGCGATATTTTGGCTTTTTCTACTTAAAAATGGAGGTAAGGCGAGGTTCAACAACACACTGGAGAGAATTGGATAATCGATGGATAAAGTAGGACAGGGGAAGTGGGAGAAAAGAGAAGGAGAGAATGGAAATAAGGGGTTGAGGAAGGGGGAGACCGAGGACGAATGAGGGAGATGGAAGAATTTGCCGATAATTTATGTTTTTGTTTTGTTTCGGGCATCTTTCTTGAGATTTTCTTCGTCCTAGCCTCTCTGATTTAGTTGTAGAATCGAAGGCAAGAGATCAAATGGCCCGTTGTCGAGAATTAACGCCACACGCAACGTAAACAATCGTTGTTTACCTCCCTCTTGGTTTATTCATACCATTTCTCTATTTATTCGCTCTTTTCTCAAGCATTTTCGTCTCCGCTTTCCTCGGCGTATTTCGGTTAGGTTTTCGATCGCTTTATCCATCTCTTGGTATCATCTTCCCAATTAAATGTCACAATTAATGAGAAATAGGCCTATTCATTATCATTATTATTGTTTTCGGGGTTCCCTCTTAGTGAGTTTGCTTGTTTGTTTGTTTTTGTGAATGTAATTAGCATTTACTTTCACGATGTACGGTTGGTTTTGTTCTTGATTTACTCACTTTATATGGATTCTAGTTTATTTTGTTTAGTCCTGTTAGGTCTTATATAACTTAATTGTTTTTGCAATAGGGATGCCAATTATACTGTGCAATGTAGAGATGAGTGCATATCTTGCATTTTTGGAGTTTTTCTTGAACTAATTTCTTTTCAATGAATTGTGGGGTGCTTTATCATAATTTTGCTTAATTGTTGGCTTATTAGCAATTCATTGGTATTTGGTTAATGAGGTTGCATATATATGAGACCAGATAAGTATGAAACATTTTGGGATTTTTTTTTTTTTTTTTTTTACAGTACAGACGCACTCGCCTGAAACTAAGAGCTGGTTTGTTAAAATTGTGCAAGGCTCAATCTGATGATGATTCTGTATGTTGACAGGCACCCATGTAAAAATATGCATTTTTGTCTGTCTAGACATGCATATTTAGGGGATAGATAGAGAAATGTATGCGTATCAGATGGATAAATGTATATGCATTTATTTTTGTATTTGCATGTCGGTATGTATGAATATTCATTGGCAAAGTTTTAAGAAACTGGGTGTCAGTATCCAACTCCATGTCACAAAAGTTATTAAATTATCTAAGATGCTATGACTAGGCATGCCCTTTGGGGAAACATTGTCTTATCCTTGGTATCCATAGCATGCTCAGCCTGAAACTTGTGAGCACCCAGTGGACTTCGGCTGTGGTGGCGCTTTCCATAATATTTTACCTTTTTTTGTATCATTACTGTTTGTGTCTGCAGATTATTTCTTATACCAACAACTATGACCTTTAGTCTGCTACAAGAATATCATCTTCAATTTAGCCTATGTTAGTACGTCTGTACCGTAAAGATTACCCATGTTTTTTTCTGTAAAATTGCTTCCTTTTGGAGAGAATTAATCAATGGAAAGGATATATATAGGACTTTGGTGATTGTTACAAATCCATAGGTATGTAGCAGTATGACCTGCAACCTGCAGCTCTGCCTACTTCCCAAGTCCACAGCTTTGTCCTCACACACTCACCAGCAGGTGCTTCTTGTGACTGCTGAGACCTGACTGGTCAATATGGACATCTCATGGCTCTCTCATTGGACTGCAGGCTCTCCTCGTTCCCGGTTCACTGACACAGCTCCTGAATACTTCAGCAAGCAGTAGCAACACAGGACTGCCCAATCCTTTGCTGACTGGGAAGCCTCTCTGTCTTCCCCATTGAACCCCACTCCATCTACAGCACCCATCCATACCAATGTGTACTCACACCGCTACAACTTCTCCCAGAGATGAATGCCAGACAAGTATTAGATGCCATCCATCTGCTTTACTGTTGGCTGAAGACCGCGACGCGCGTAGATAGAGGAAAATGGACACCGCCATCTTATAGAGCGGGAAAAATAGAAGGGGATAGCGTATAGTTTAAGATGCACCGGCCTTATAGTCACCGCTAAATGACACGTGCGGCCGCCTTTCAAATTCAAAGTCGATGAACTTGTTTACCTTGTAGGAAAAACACGACACTGACCCACGAAAGCATTTTTGCGTTCGCGAACTAGTCCGTGTATCATTACGCGCTTTCAAAACGATATTTGGCTAATTATCTGTGTCTGCTGGTACGCATTTTACCTTTAAAGTCTTTTAGTAATGTTATTATACTTCAATTGCATATTTTTATATTTATCTATACCCTCATATCAAATCCTGCGCATCGAGTGTTTCACACTTTCTTGCACCAGCCACAGGTTGACAGCTCACCAACCCGCTCATTTCGAGATTGAAAGCCGGTGAGAAATGTTGCGTTTCCAGTGTTGTGTTGATTCTGGGTTCTTTTTTAAAGACCTTTACAGTGGCATCGAAGAATAATTCGACTTCAGTAACCATCCCAGTTTTATATCTGAGCCCATCAAGAGCTCCAAAGGACGAAAAAGGTGATTAAAATCGAAGCAATCCCAACAGTACAAAGAAACGAAAGTTTCACGTTTCCTGATATAAAGGTATTTGGTTTATTATTTTACGGTGTGAATGCAGCTCTGGCTTGCCGTACATACCGTGGTGGAGAGAATGTGTCCTGGGGGGTGTTGGGGGCTTGCCCCCCATCAACCCTCCCTCGGGCAGTGCCCGAAGGGCACGCCTAGTCACGGCAATTTATATTGATATATTAGGTTGGTTGGTTTATTGGTTAATACGTTTTTTGGTTGGAACGTGTGAATTCCCGTAGATTTTTTTTGCCGAAATGTGGGTTGGGTTCCCATTTATTTCGCGTCAGTCCGTAAACTTTCAAAGATGGCGGGTAGAGTTTCATTGATTTTAAGCGCTTTTTGTGCTAGTTTTATGCATTTTTGATCGTTATTCTTCTTATTTAAGCTTGTTTTACCCCATAATTTCCCTGATATACTTCATGCCCTCCCCTGCTCAAATCAAGATCGATGGAGAAATGGTACTCGATCTCCTGAACGATTCATTCGCAAAGAAACAACGCCGAAAATCGATGAAATCATAGGATTTCATGCAGATCGACTTAGTCTCTGCGAGGTCCCCATACATATCCATGGTTCATACCGGTCCTGGAGAATCTTGGAAAATGGAAATTGAAGTTGTAATTTCCAAACCTGGAATATCATGAAATTTAGTATTTATTTCTTAAAATGTAAGTCTGGCTAAGATTTTTTCAATTTATATTCTGAAAATGTCTTTAGAAAGAAAAATAAACTTCAGAAGATTAATGTAACTGATTGAAAAGTTGAAAGATGCATCAGATGTTCAAGGAAAACTGTGAAAAGAGTCATGGAAAAATATCAAAACCACTTTGGAAAGGCATGGGAAAGGCATAGAATTTGGATGCCAAAAAATTGTATGACCCCTGCATATTACTCGCTTAGTTCAATCACTGGAGGAGCAACTTCCAGCTCTGCATACTTCCCAAATTAGGTCTCCCCAGGACCACAGCCTGGTCATCACACGCTCTCCAGCAGATGCGTCTTATGACTCTCTGGCGAGACCTGACTGGTTGACGCGTACACCTCATGGCTCTCTTGTTTGACTGTAAGCTCCACTCATTCCTGGTTCTTGAATACTTAAGCTTCAGCATCTGGAACTGAGATAAGCAACTCCCTATCCTCTAGAGCACCTCAGCAAGCAACAGCAACACAGGACTGCCCTGTCCTTCACTGACTGAAGAGCCAGTTTCCTCCACATCACCTCCAGCATCCAGCCACGCCAGTGGGAACTCACACCCACTACCACTCTATAAAGAGATATTCATTAGTTCAAGTAGTAGATACAACCCATCTACTACAGGTCCACTATTGTTCTTGTACCAAGCAGTACAACAGCCTCTTGACCAGTTGGTGCTCCAGCATAGGCTACCAGACTTCTGCTGTGAATATTCATGCAAAGCAAAACTTGCAGACCTACTCTGTGACCTGATTCAATTCGAAACAAGAAATCAGTCCAAACTCTGTCTTGCCAGAATATATGCATTGAAGGCTAGATGGCCTTTCCTGGTGCAGGCATGGGCTGTGACACTTCTTTAGAAACTATGCTACTGTCATTCAAGACATAATTTGTTGACTTAGATGTAAATTGTGGCAGTGATCATGATGCACGTAGATATGCTCCTTATCTGCAACCATGCAAAAGTTAATTCACAAAGTTATAACTTTAAATAGCTAGAATGTGAAAATATTGCTTTATTTCATTAATAGAGTAATGATATGATAATGCAACACTAGTGTTTGTAAAAGCAATGTGAGCATAAATAAGTAGACTGTAAAGAAATTTTGTTTTCAAGATATGATTGTATCCAATTTGCCCTGTATATCAGAATGATACAACTATGTAGACATTGTAATATGATTGGCAACATTTTGTGATGGGATGCTCTGAAAATCGCAAAAAAAAAAAAGACTGCCCATCAGACACCTAAATGTTACTGACATACCATGCCCACTGTCAGTATGATTTATTATATTTACACAGATAGTTCCAAACGTACTAAGTCACTGGTGAGCCAACCATGAGTACTACCAATCTTGCTTGATTGCCATTTTCCTTGATTTTCAAAAATATTTTCGGGTATCTTACATGGTTAGTAATATTAGTAACACTATGATGTGTATAATGTCAATAATAGAAATATCAGCAATGATATTGATAGTATTAGTCAAAATATTTGTTTTTCCTACAAACTCAAGGAAATTTAAAGATAAGGGAATCTTCACTTTTATATTTGTTTTGAAGATAGAACTATAAGACTCAAAATGTCTAATGGTGTGCATGAAGTAAGCATGAGCGTGGTAATGACGTCCTCCCTGGAGCTGGCGCTCTTCCAGTCATGGCACAGGGACAGTACATTCCACAATTGTTTATCAATGTGAATAATGCAAAAGTCCCTTTCTAAATACCAAATGAGTCTAATCAAGAGGTTTGTTCACTTATGGCTAGTCTTTTCCATCACCGTGGCCTTCACTTAAGATGGCAAGTTCATATTACGCAGCTCTCAACCCAAAATTTTTCATCACATGATGGTCACGTCACCTGGATTAAAGGGGTTAAGGACAGTTATCCTCATTATTCAGATGACGCGAACTTGCCATCATGAATGAAGGCCAGGGTGACGGAAAAGACCCACCACAAGTGCACAAACCTCTTGGAGTGTTATTTTACTAATTTGGTACTTAGCAGGGAGCTTTAGCATTATTCCTATCGATAAATGAATGTGGATTGTAACGTGTGTAACCACTGACTGGAAGAGCGCCGGCTCCAGGTAGGACGCCATTTCCATGCTACATGCCGTATTCCGTGCTGCTGTGACAGGTGGATGTATTAGGGAAAATTGAAAATTATGAAAAAGTAGATTTATTACATATAACTAAATGGTCCATACTTTTTTTTTTTTTTTTTTTTTTTTTTTTCTTACACTGACTTATTTACTACACAGAGTGAGGATATGGAGTCTGTGCAATAAAAATAAGCTATTACCATCTGGATAAAGCAAATAAAAATAAAAATTTAGACATTGGAAAATGGCCAAACGGCTGAAAAAGTTTAGACCAAATGACTTTGCGCAGGGGAGGCGCAGAGTCTTGTCGCCACTCATGGATGTTTGCGGGCACCTGGCCTATGCACAGCATGCCCAGAATGTTGGCTTCTTATGTAACCCACTGCCCATATTTTCAGCACCGCAATTTCCGGATCCAATGGGTTAACATGAAAAATGGTCTCCCACATTTTCTTGATTTTTTTTTTATGTATTTCAATGTTTTTTGTATTTTAAGACCAAATATAATGGGTTTCCTACATAATTAAGGTGTGGAAAAATTCAGAATGAGTAGCAAGGAATTCCCAAGAAACTATGCATGTTAGAAATAATAGATAGATAATAATAATTCTTTAGTTTCTCAAGTATTTTTTTTTGTTTCTGTTAAATTTTTACAAAGCTTCCAGTGATATACCCAAAATTAAAATTGTTCAGGAACTCTGGGACTGGGGGTCATCTGAAGCTTAAGAAAATTGAAAAAGAAGAATTAATTGTAGTTAGAATTCTCACACACTTCATTTATGAAACTTTATCATCTAACAGCTGTAAAAAGGTACTTGGTTACTCAAAGCTATCATAAATAGTCTCATTGTTCCTTGTCTCATACCTCTTATGGTGTTTTCTTGCTTACACATGTGTTTATATGTGTATAAGTAGATAAACATTACTTTATGAACATCACTGTACTTATCCACTTTGTGAATTCTGATTTTTTGAATCATCATCATCATCATCATCATTTTTTCTTTCTTTCTTTCTTGTACTGATGACGTTTTTCTCTCTGCAGAGTCCAGAGGGTGAACGGAACAGTCTCACACCTCGTTCGCGGTCGCGCTCAAGATCACGTCTAGAGTCACCAGCTGCTTCACCTGCTCATCGCCGCACAGCTACGTCGCAGTCAAGGTCTCCCCAGCCTCGCAGACGCTCATTTTCCAGGTTGGTATCTACTTTTGAGTTTTTTGATTAGCAGGATATTTAGATATCTAATATTGAGAAGTCTTCTTACTTTCATGGGCAGTGACTTGTAAGTTGCAATAGTTTTATTCAAAATTTAGAGTGCTCATCATGGATGGTTATCTTATCTAAGTCTTTTTTTTTTCTCTTTCATCTACACGATTGAATTTTTTCATTGTTCTCCAACCTACTTTGAGAATGACATCCTTTGCGCTCTAATGAGTATGAATTCCAAGTGTGTATCACATTTTGTTTTCCACTTCTTTTGTCAGCCATCATTCTTCACCGTGTCATCCATTAAATCCATGGCATAAAGCACTTTGTTCATGGAGTCTATATTCTGTTTGAGAACCACAATTTGAAGTTGCTGAACCATATGCTTGAAAAATTGCAAAATCTATTTACGTATCTATTGCCATTAACAACAATTGCGTATTTTTGTCTTGCATATTGTTTTCATGAAGGTGTGGAAAATTATTTGTATCACACACAACACTGGAACGAGTCTGCATAATGGCATCATGATTGGTAGTTCACATCATGGGACACAGCTCTAGGCAATGGGTCGTCCATATCATGGAACACAGCTCTGGGCAATGGGTTATTCACGTCATGGGACACAGCTCTAGGCGATGGGTCGTTCATATCATGGGACACAGCTCCAGGCGATGGGTCATTCACATCATGGGCACAGCTCTGGGCAATGGGTCGTTCACATCATGGGGCACAGCTCTGGGCGATGGGTCGTTCACATCATGGGGCACAGCTCTGGGCGATGGGTCATTCACATCATGGGACACAGCTCTGTGCGATGGGTTGTTCACATCATGCTACTATGATGCCTGTATTACATTTTATGCTGTTCTTTATAAGGTACCTTCCTTCCCCTGGGACATTGCCTGAGGTAGAATGGGGTATGTAATGCTCGGACTGGCCATTGTTTTGTATAAAGGGTGATATTTAGCACATAGATCCTCTGCCTGCTCTGTCTGGAAATGTTGCACACCAAAACATTGTGCTCTCTTGCTGCTGCTGTGAACCTGGAAGTAACTTTCCCTCTAGATTACATGAGAGAAAGTCTTTCTTGTTTTTATCCCTCAATAAAATCACATTCCATCTTGTACACAAAGTGGAACACTTGTGATTTATTGAAATGGACTCTACCGGAGGCATATGGTGAATGGGATGAAGGAGATTTTGTTATAGCTGACACTGAATCTTGTATTAGAATGGTATTTTGTATTTTACAGTTTTACTGTTGTGAATTGACTTAGGGTTCTATATAAAGGGAAATGTTGATGGTAGTTATAGGAGATTTGTTGATTTTCAATCTAAACAGTAAAGCATTGCTTGAAGTCACGTGTAAATGCTTGATTATTTTACATAATAAAAGTATGAGCCATTAACCCATTTTTGGTTGATAGAATTTTTAATGAATTTTGATGAGACTGGGTTGCATTAATGTGCTCACTGTCACTGCGGTGCACCTGGGTTATTGTCTTACTCACAACTAAGTTTCAGAAGCCACCAGATCTCAGGCTCATGACATGGTGTCAGGTGGTTAGATAGTTCAGGACATTCTATGCACAAACTTATGACTTGCATCTGCAATAGGTGTTTTTGCATATACACATCTATTTTCATTCTTGATGCACCACATATTGTGAGTTTTCCAATAAGGATACAATACTTCATTTAGATAAATGTATAACTATCCTTCTTGACAAAGCCCCCTCAGTAAAGGGTACACCAAGAACTGCACTCTCTGGGTGTTGTTGGGATCAAGTGGATTTGAGTTACATATTCAATAGTGTTTTTGAGCATGTTAGGCAGTTTTCTATTTGTGAACTTTGTGACAATATTATTCTTTGAATTGCAATGATGATTTATACTCCCCATGCTATCAGTCCTATACACCTTATCTTGAGAAAATTTAAAGGTTTTAATCTTGTGTGTCAGATTAAGATGAAAACATGGGATTTAGTATACATTCAGTAAACCAGTTTTGTTCATTACTTGCATTACATATTTACTTGTAATGAGAAATGTCTAATAAATCAGCTTGTAGCTGCAACTCAAAAGTATCAGTTTTGCAGTTTTAGTACATTTCTTTAAAGTATGTTATAGGGTCTCATACAAGGCTTTGTATTATTATTGATTGTTTTCAATTACTGTTGTAATAATTTCTTGTTTGAGGTGATGGGCACTCAAAGCCTTGCAAATGCCATGCCCACATATGCTGTTCTTTTCTTTTCTTTTCCTTTCCTTTCCTTTCCTTTCCTTTTTCTTATCTTTTTCTTTTTCTTTTCATTTCCTTGCTCTTCCCTTCCTTCCCTTCCCTTCCCTTTCCTAATGCGCAAGTATGGCCTCAGACTGTTTTAATGATAGATTTCTCCTAAAGAAACTTATCCCTACTAAAATTTTGATTTTCTTCAGCATGACTTTTTTGCAAGTTTACCATTTATCTCCTATAGAAAATGGTGAGGGAACTAGCCAGGGAAAAATTATTTGAAGGTTAACTATGGAGAATGAGGAAATTTTCCTTTTACTTTTCTATGCATGAAATAGATCATGATATTTGTAATTAGTGGTTAGAGATGTTGAAGTTGCTATGATAAAAGATGTAGAAGAAATCATATATATACATTTTGATATTATTATATCAATATTCTTGCCCTTGGATTGCAGTTACCAGAAAATCAGCTCATAGCAAGAAAAAGGGTTTTGCATCTATTAGGTTCTAGAATTGACTCTGGAAATATTATTTGATGTCAACTTTTTACTTGTCTTGTCAACAAATAGTGTAAGATATTATATCCCCATTGCATCATTTATTTCAGTTCGTGTTCAAATGAAATGAAGATAGATTATAATTATAGCTTGAACAGCAGTCCTCAGATATGATCATATGGTAAAAATACAAGAGCTTATGCTTCAGAGAGTTTTGTTTTGATTCAAGTGTTTTGCCAGCTCTGCTCACATTTTTTGTTTTCCAGAGGACATGGTAATATTTGTATAAAATGTTTGGACACTGCTTTATATAGCTCTTTGTTGGAGAAGAAAAATTAATTTGATTAACCCATTGGGGCTGGATGCTTCACTGCAATCATGTGGCCCAAAATATGGATTTTAGGCTTATGTGAGGGGCCACTGTGAAAGGTGTGGGGCTTGTAGGCCAGATGCACATGAACACTCATGTGCAGTGACAAGATTCCATGCTTCCCCCCTTGCAATGTTATTTTCTCTTATTCTGCATAAGCATTTTTAGTTTTTTTGCCATTTTCCAATGTGTATATTTGTCATGTGGTTTGCTTCATTTATATGATAGTAGAATGTTTTTCTTGCACAGTCTCTTATAATTGCTCTAGGTAGTCCATGGCTCAATCCAGTAATAATTAGAGTAAGTAACATTTTGTTATATGCGTCATTTAAATTTTTTTGTAATACAACCTGTGCTGCCAGGCATGGCGGCCAGGAATAGTATCCTGAAGAAGGAAGTAACATCCTCTGTGGAGCCAGTGCTCTCCCAGTCATGGATGACAGTTGGCACATTCCACACTTTTATTGATGGAAATAATGCAAAAACCCTTCCTAATCAGTCTAATCAATCAGCCTCTAAGAGGTTTGTGCTCTCATGTTGATAATGTCATCCAGATTGTAGGGTATAGAGCTAGAAGAGCATGATTGATATCTTGATAGTCTAGTCTTGTATGAAATATGAAAAAAAGTTATGATTGCTTTAGTCCATTCTTGAAGAATTGCAGACACTTAGAGAAGTGGACACATAGGACAGTCTTTATAATTTGTTTGATGAAAATTTTTGGAAGAATTGAAATGTTTTCATACATTTTTAGAAAATTTTAGTTTTGACTCAATTTTGTAAGAGTGATTGTATAAAAATTACTTAGTTTTAGATATATGGAATTTTTACAATGTCATGTTGACTTCCAGAAATCAGGCATTGAAATGGAACACAATAGAAAACTGTGAATCTAATTCTTAGATTTTAGTCTATAATTTGGTCATATTATGGTGGTATGATCAACCTCACCCTCATGATAAATAAACTTCTACAGGTGTAACAAATCAAGAACTCATCTCATGTAAATTTGCTGAGGTTTGTTTCCATAAATTAGTCATCAACTGGAAATATTATAAGCACAAAATTTCCTCATACCTTGAGCCAACAAGAGCTTGAGGCATACTAAGGTTTTCACAAGAAACTGCCAGATTTTTGTAGTTCATATTCATTAAGTGCTTTCAGTGAACTTGTTTCACTGATCAGAGCTGTCTTTTCTGACCTACACAACACCTCTTGTGCAGCAGGAATTGAATTTGCAGCAAATGTTTAACCCACTAACGACGGATATCCCACATATGAGACACCCGAGAAAATAAACATTGTCGGGCGTCCTGCCAGTGTGACGCTGTATTGGGGCTTGCGCTCAGACGTAGCAGCAGGCTGCGCCCAGCGGGCGGGGCTAGCCCGGACTCTGATTTTGTAGCCTCCTGGAATCTTTTATTTTCGGCTTCAAAATACACCGGCATTAATGGGTTAAAGAGTAAAGACATATATTCCTCCTACTTTGATTATTTACTTGTGTATTCGTACTTGCAATGGGTATCTATAACAGTGCAACCCACCATAAGATAGTAAAAACCATCTAGGATATCATATTCTTAACCCACTCACGCCGGGTACATTTTGTAGCCAAAATTAAAAAAATCCTGGCAGCTACAAAATAGCTTCCCCGTATTCTCCGAGACAGCATCGCACTGGCGGGCAGCCCGATATTGTTTATTTTTTCCCTGTGTCTCATATATGTGACACCCGGGACGAAAGGGTTAAATACTGTGTGCCAGTCAAGAAAATAACTAATACAGTAAAACTGTTAGTCATCAGCCTCGACCATTCCCATTACGTTGAAGGATTGCGTGTTGTTTTGCAGCATTTTTTGCTTTTGATCATGATCTTTGCTTTC